AGTGGCTGAGCTGGTTTTAATCACAAACCACACCTTTTTGGTGTAAACCTGATAGGTTTACAATCTAAGCCAAAGCTGCCTGAAGAAGTCACAAGAAGTCCTCTTGCTGGATGTGGGGTAAGCTCTTCTGAGATGGTATGAATTGGGATAAATATCTTAAGAAAAAATTATGTGCCTCTAACATTTTATTTAAAGCTTAATACAAGAAAACTATATAAAAATATATTCTCAGAAAGATAATTATCTTTGTCAGCCAACATCTGCAACCTATCCTGAGGACATTACAATTTTCAAGGGTACTGGTTAGGTGCTCTTTGTACTGTCTTTACTGCCCTGACCTGAGAGAACATTGTTTTATAAAGTTCAGCCTAAACTGTAATTTGTCTATGGGGTACCCTACCCTGTCAGCAGCCTATGTTGAGATAGAGATCTCTGAAGTTCTGGCCTACTATATTTAGGAGAAAAAGAGCTCTAAAAGAAGGACCGCTCAGATCCCAAAACAAAGACTTAACAAAATGTATCACCACTATTTATTTTTATTCACAAGTAGCTCTGTGCACTCCTTCATAGTTGTAACAGCACATGAAAATACCCAAGTTGAGCCAAAAGACATATTTGAGAGGGTGGAGCGGGCAGTACCACGTGGACTCATTACTATGGTAAGTTAGGTAATAATTACTACTTTTTGCCCACAAGCTAAGTACTTAACTTTTATTTTCTTTAAAGATGTGGCCGTGAGCTCTGGCTGCATGTCCAGAAGCCAAGCTCTGTCCCTTTGACACAGACAAACGGGACGTTAGGAGCTGTAAACTGTACAAGAACGTGAGCTGTGGTTACAAGTTGAGTTCTGCACTTTGCAGCCCAGCTTTGCCAGGGAGGCTGACATATCCCTGGGCAAAAGGAATTAAGGGCTGGGCACGTGCTCGGCGCTCCGGCTCCCGCAGTTATGTAATATCCAACCTAAGTTAAAAAAAAAAACCCGAAAAACAACACCATCAAACTCCGGCCCCTCTTGGATTGCAGAACCAGCGGAGCTGGAAACACGAAGCAAAACCTTCCGTGTCCTGGAGCAACGACCGACTCCGTGCACAGAGCGCACCTCGAGCTGGAGCGGCGGGCACTGAGAGTGAGCGCAGCGCTCCCCTCACAGCCGGGTGTGCACAACAGGCCCCAAGGGCCGCGCTGGGCCTCGGTCCCCATATTCCGACATCCCGATCCCTATCCCGATATCCCAATCCCGCCTCGCCCGCTCTTCCCGGCCGGGTCCCGCCGACCGCCGCGGCCCAGCCAACGGCGAGCGCCGAACGCGCTGAGTGACAGGCGGCGACGGCCAACGAGCGCGTGCCTTGTTGCGGGGTGGCGGAGGCTCCGGCGCTATAAAGGCGGCCACGCGTCGAAGGCCTGGGCCCGAGTACGTGTCTGAGGGGGAGGCGGCGGTGGCGGCGCGGCCGGAGCGGAGCAGCCGCGGGCAGCGCGATCGGCTCCAGCGCCGGGGCGCTTTTAATCGGACTCCAGACAGCCCGGGTTTTATCGGGAGCGGGTTTTAAAGTGAGTACCGAGCGGGATGGCGGCGGCGGAAAGGGGGAGGGGTGTGAGCGGACCGGATCAGACCGGCCCGGCCGGGGAGGAGCCGCCGCGCTGACCCGCGCTCGTCTCTCGCAGGAGCCTCTCGTCCCTCTCCCTCAGCGGACGGGGCACCATGTCCGAAGCGGAGCAGCAGCTGGCGGCCGGCGCCACCCAGAACGGGCACGAAGCGGCCGAGAGCGCCGGGGAGCAGCAGGCCGAGAGCGGCGCGGCCCCGGCGGCGGCGGCAGCAGCAGCAGCGGCGGGGGCAGCGGGAGCGGCATCGGCGGCGGCGGGAGCCGGGCCGGCGGCGGGCACGGCAGGCACGGCCGCCAGCCAGAACGGGGCCGAGGGCGACCAGATCAACGCCAGCAAGAACGAGGAGGACGCGGGGTAAGCGCGGGCGCCGTGCGCGGCCCGGCGGGCCCGGCAGCGCCCCCGGCCCCGCGGGGAGGGCGGCGGGAGCGGCCCCGCCGAGCCGGGGCCCTGCAGCACCAGCGCTTCCTTTGTTCTGGCGCTGCCTTTTGTTGGCGCCATGTGGCGGCTGGGGGAGGGGCGCCGAGCGGGGCTGGTGCCGTCTCACGCTGTAAAATGGAAGGGGATTTACGTCTCCCGCGTTTTTCCTCAGCCTTTTCCTCCCGAGCGAAAGGGGCGGACGGAAGGAGTTGCTTTGTGTTGAAGGGGGGCTAGTTGAAACTTTCTGGGGATCGCGTGACCGGCGTCGATGTAAATGCGAACGTGTTTTGTGTAACGCGCATAAAAAGAATAATCCTGGCTTTGGAAGGCGGTCGGGGTAAGGCAAGTATTTTATAAAAGAAGTAAAGGGAAAACGGGGACGATGGAGACGGTGTGCGGTGTGTTCAAACCAGTAAGAGCGATTTTGGTGTGCTACTTTGCAGCATTGTCAGAAAACGGCTTATGTCTTGCAAGTGATTTCTGGAGGAGTCAGAGTAGTTCCGCTGGGTTTTGGTCGAGGCATCCTTGTGTACAAAAGAGGAATTTCTTTCCTATCATAGTTTGTTTGTAAATATACGTACTTGACTTGCAAAGGACCTGCCTGTTTTCTCAGGCTGGTCTTTGTCATTCAGGCTACCCTGCGTATTTAATTGGAACTCCCTTTGTTATCACCGAGCCCTGGACCAGAGGGTCAGATCCCTCAGGTCAGACAGAGAGCTGAAGCCAGTGTAGTAGGTTTTGGCCGTAAAGGGACGAATAAGACTTGCACCAGCTTCCTACAAGCTGGGGCCGGATGTACCTTTTGCAGACATGAGAAGAATTAAAAACCAGGCCTTCCAGCCGCGTGTGAATTTTCCTTTTACTGTTTTTAGTGTTTTGGGCTGAAAAGAGGGTGATGCTCTTCCTTTCCTGCACAGGAGGTGACAAGTTTCAACCCCAAATCCGTATGAAATGAAACTTCTAAGAAAAGCAGTTATTTTAGAGGGATGGATTGATTGGCCTATGTGGAAAATGTAGTGCTGTGCTAAAACAAGAGCTGTCCAAGCCACTGATATCAGTGTTCTGTTAAGAGCTGAAACAAGCTTCGATTTAGCTGCACCAATTCTCTCAGGAGGGGAAAAAAAGACTACGTGTTAAGGGTGCAGTTGTCCACTCTGAAGGCAAACCCAAATACCAGGAATTCGGTCGTAGTTCCAAAGGCTTTATATTGTGTTACTTAAATACGTGTAGGTATCAGTCTTTCAAGTTACAAACCAAAGCCCTGCAAACTGCAGAGTGTGCTGTGTACTGCTGTGGTAAGAGGTGAATTGAGCGTGTGGCAATGCCTGTGTGTGCACCACAGCCCCAGCCCGATGGCACAAAGCAGCTAAAGCTGCCTCCGGACAAATCCTGTCATCCCCCAGCCACCGAGTTACTCTTGATCTAAGTGTAAGCAGTGATGCCGGGGTGTGCTGTGGAGAGCTGCTGTGAGTCTCTTCGGGTTACAGCTCGGTCAGGGAGCTGTGATGGGAAGGAATCCACCGGAGTGACCGTCCTTTAACCTGGTATTGAAAGGCTTAGTAAACTTTGTAAGGCTCTGCTCTAGCGCCTGCAGGACCCTGTACATCCTGCGGCAACCACCAGCTAAAGAGTGCACAGCAGGTTTTTCTGGAAAACACAAGGGTTTAGCCTGCAAAGGATAAACCAGATTTCATCCAGGTTAAGAAAAAAAAGGCAAAACCCTTATAACACCTTTTTTTCCCCCACTTTTTTTTTTTTTTGAATATAAATGGACAGCAGTTCTAGCGAATCAAAGTTACACATAAGCCCCCAAAGCCAATTTTACTTAGGCATAGTCTAGTTTTTAAAGTGCTGATACCTCCTAGAGCCAAATCTAGGTTGCCTCTAAACACTCTAATGATAACTTAAACTGCTTCAGTCTATAGTTAGATAAAAAGGCTCGAACGCCTTTAAAAGCTTAGTTTGTTACCTTGGAAACTCTGAAAATAGAAAATACAGCCATGTTATTAATGTTTTCATTTGAAGTGAAGCATTTGAAAAATGCCTTATTGCCTGATATCACTGTTTTGTTTTTTAGCTGAACTTGTGTATTGTGTCTCAGTAGAATTTAGTTCTTAGAGATGCATCTCCTTTTTCAGAGGATATTTTGTGTGGGAAAGTAGGCAGGGAAGGACTGTACTGGCCTTTTTGGAAGTAAAGGCTAATAGTGGAGAGGCTCCTGTAGTACTGGTGAAGACAGAACTAGATTCAGTAACTAAGCAGGAAGAAGTGTACAACACAGTAGTTAAGGCAGGTCCAAAGTCCCATCTCATGTATGTGACTGCTATTGGAGGTCATAGATACCCGGTTTAAATTTTGCAGATTGTTCCTAGGACTAAAATTTCTACAGCCATTCGACCAAAACCTTAAAGAGCTCATGCATTTTGCTTTTATTGCCTTACTCTTTGCTGGATGCTTTCAGAGCAGTAGGAATGATCCTGGATTCTTTGCAAAACCTGAGTTGGCAGTACCTGATAATCAATACTGCTTTTTTGCAAACAACCTAAGAGCATAAGTTACTGGTGAGGAATATTTCAGGCAATTTGTGCTGTTTCTTATAGCCTGTAATCAGCTTCAGGGTGCATTGTGGCATTTCCTCAAAAAGAGGGGGAGAAACCCACCCTTGTGCACTCCTGTAGTACCACCAGCTTTAGACAAGAGGCAAGTGTTTAACTTGGACCAGCTGGTTGTGTTCTGACAATGCTGCTGAGGAGTATGCCACTGAGCATCTTGCTGCATGGCCTTTGCTGTACTCTTTCCTGAATCTAAATAGCTGTTCTCTTTGAAATTTCAGGAAGATGTTTGTTGGTGGCCTCAGTTGGGATACGAGCAAAAAAGACTTGAAAGATTACTTCACCAAATTTGGTGAGGTAACCGACTGCACGATAAAGATGGACCCTAACACAGGAAGATCCAGAGGCTTTGGATTTATTCTCTTCAAAGAACCTGGGAGTGTTGAAAAGGTGAATTTGAACTTCATGTTTTGGATCCTTAACTTTAAGGGGAAACTTTTCAGCTTGAATTAACCATACCAAACTGTCTTTCAGGTTCTGGAACAGAAAGAACACAGACTAGATGGCCGACTAATTGATCCCAAGAAGGCCATGGCAATGAAAAAGGATCCGGTGAAGAAAATATTTGTTGGTGGACTAAACCCAGAAGCCACAGAAGAGAAAATCAGGGAATACTTTGGAGAATTTGGAGAGGTGTGTAATGTTATCCTAGTAAACTCTGAAACACTTATTAGTCTCCAGTTGCTATTTAGTTTACTAATACTTTAAAAGTTTCAAAGTAAATTAACTTCAGATGTATCAAGACTTCTGTAACTGATCCAGAGGTTTCCCACTTTAAGAGCAAAGGTGGCACAGACTGCACTAGATGCTTTCAGTGCTACTTGGATACCCCTGCCTTTAACTCAAAAGCATTTTAGCTGATATTAAAATTGGTTTGAAGAGTTGTAAAATGGAAATCTCTGGTCTGAAGGCCAGTGTTAATATAGAAAGACTCACGCAGCTTTGGTGTTGCATAATATACATAGAGAGGAAACTTAATAGTTTTACTGTCCCAAATGCCTTGTACTTAAGTGTTCTGCTAAAATACAAGACTGAAAATAGTATTTCATGTCTTCAGATTGAAGCAATTGAACTTCCAATGGATCCAAAGACCAACAAAAGGAGGGGGTTTGTGTTCATCACTTTCAAGGAAGAGGATCCAGTGAAGAAGGTTTTGGAGAAGAAATTCCATAACGTCAGTGGAAGCAAGGTAGAAACTTTGACTTACAACTTTTTGTCCAAGTTACTAAGCATACACTACATCTGTAACCTGAAAAGGTTTTTGCAGACCTCTTGTGTCAAGGTACTAAATTTACAATAAGGACAGCTTTCAGTTTACCCTACTGTTGTTTTGCCATAAGTTCAGTCACAGATTCTTTGCCAGTATTTATGGCTTTGATAATTGCTGTGTTCTAGGGCCTTTTGTATGTAAAGTATCTAATTGCATTCATTACAAACACAGGGAGAAACTGGCTTGTGTAGCAGTATAGGCCTTATCTGTTGATGTGGCTTATTTTCAGCATAGAGCCCTTGCATAAATGCAAACCTTAGAGACACTAACTTTGTAGGCAGCTGGCTGAAACTGGCTCTGCCTGGCTGGGGGCAGCTTCTGGTTTCTTCTCTCAGAGGCCCCTTCCTGCAGCCCCCCCTGCTACCAAACCCTTGTCATGTCAACCCACTACAAGGATCCAGAGAGCAAATGTAAATTTTATGGCAACTTGTACCTGGTCAGCTGGTTGTGGGAACTATTGTAAGAGTGGTGTGAGATACTCTGAACAGCTCACTGCTCATCTGAGGGAACAGCTAATAGAGGCTCATGCCTCAAGCTGATAAGGAGAGGACTGGGGGCAAAGGATGTGTACTGGCTGGAGGTGTCCCTCTTCCTTTGCTCTGAGGCCAGTGCTGTCCATACACATAATTTCAAAGCCCTGTTATATTTGATCATACTGTCTGGCACAGTGACTTAGATTGCACTTAGACTGGTTTTGATACAGCACAAAATAAGCTTTGGCAAATGTAATGCATTGATCAAGTCTGTTTTCAGGAGAGATGAATGTCTACATGCCAAGGAAGCTGAGAAATTTCTGTATCTCCTAACTATGCCTTGTGTCATAGTGATAATAAAAAACAGGTTACCTTAAGGGTCCTGTGGTGAAGAACTCCAGGCCAGACTTGCTCAGGTGCTGTTGTTCCTTTTGCAGCAGCAGCAGCTTTCATCTTGGACTATGCACAGATTCAGGAACCAGGCAGCTGACTGACAGCTTGAGTTGCAGCCGAACCTGCATTGGAAATGTCAGTATTTGATAAGTGATGATTTCAGTGTTGGTAGGGGTACTGTACAGTCCAACCACATGCACAAAAAGCTGCCCTCTCACCTGGCACAACCTTCAGGACCAGGCTGTTGCTGTCAGACTTCACCTGAGCTGCACTGAATGAACAAGGCTCAGTCTTCCTGGCAGCCTACAGGAATGGTGGCATCAGCACCTCTTCCTTGGGGAGACTGATGGTAGGAATAGGCAGAATAAACTGCCCTTAAAGCAGTGGCCTCTTGGAAGGGCTGGCAGTGACTTACCTTTGCCCAGGTGGCACAGTAAATCAGACACTTCTGCATTAGTGCTGCTCACCTGGCAGGAGCACAGCATGTCCACCTCCTTTGCCTCCAGAGGAACCTCTGGATTTCCCAGGAGCTGCTCAGGGTGGGTGCTGCTGCTCTAAGACACCTTACATACTCTTCCTTTTTTATTTTCAGTGCGAGATTAAGGTAGCACAGCCAAAAGAAGTGTACCAGCAGCAACAGTTCAGCAGTGGCGGAGGAAGAGGTAGCTATGGAGGAAGAGGCAGAGGTGGAAGAGGCGGCGGTAAGTACCACACACACTACTTTAGTATGGACACATTCTAAATAAGTTGTGTGTACTAAAATGGGATTTTGTGGATGGTTTTCCCTTCTATAGCTCAAAGTCAAAATTGGAATCAAGGTTATGGCAATTACTGGAACCAGGGTTATGGGAATCAAGGATACGGCTATCAGCAAGGTTATGGTGGCTATGGAGGCTATGATTATTCAGGATATGGGTATTATGGATATGGACCAGGCTATGATTACAGTAAGTAAAGAGAACTGTATTGGGTATAAGCAAACGTAACTAATTAGCAGTTTAATGCATTTGTTCTCTTGTTCATAGGTCAAGGCAGTGCAAATTACGGGAAGACACCAAGACGTGGTGGTCATCAGAATAACTACAAGCCATATTGATCAAACTTATTCAGGTATGCAGTGGCATGGTCTCTTTTGGAAAATGACTGCATAGGTTTTGTATACAATGCTGTAGATGGATACTTCAGTTCTGTACCAAATTTAACTTTACAATAAATTTCTATGGCCTGTTAAATGTGCATCTTACTTGGAAGAGCTCCCTGGAAATGTTTTACATGTTTAATACTTACAGATAACTAGTTGTCTAGACAGTGTGGTGTGTAAATTTCAGCATTGCTGAAGATAATTAATTAATGATTTTATTAATAGGTTAAACTGAAACTGATTTTGAGGGTCTGCTTAAAGCTGCAGCTCTGCATCTAGGGACTGCCTCTTGGAGTTAACTATGGACTCTGCATTACTCCAGTTGTACAGAATGAGATGCATCTTAGGGAACCAGTGTCACTTTCCACCTTTTTATTTTGTATTGTTTTTGTGTCATACATTTCCTGTAATGGAAGTGTTAATTTTACTGTACTTTTTGGTACCTTTTTGGAATCTAATGTATTGTAAGGTATTTTACATGTGTTCTGATTCACCATGACGTGGATATTGAAGCTATCCTAGCTTTTGAAATAAAAAAGGCGTAATCTAGTGTCTTGTGCCATTCTTCAGCTTATGTGTTAGTGAAACGCCAGTTCCTGTTCCCAGAACTTAGCTCATGGCAGTACCTTGATAGATGAAGAGTTGTGCTTAATGTTGTTAATCTTGAAACTAGAAGGCTGTGTTGGTAGTTGTGCTCACTTGCAGTTAAGTGGCAGCTGAAACCTGCAGTCGCTTGTGCCTGGAGGTTGTGGAGGAGAGCTGAGGTGAGGAGCCCCAGCTGTTGGAGCTGTGCTGGTGAGCTGGTGGCTCTGCCCTAGGCAAGCACAGGGGCTCAGTGGAACTGTGGTGGTGTCTGCATTGGGCTCTGCTTGGAGGAGCCAGAGGTGTAGGACTCAGGTAGGGCTTGGGAGCCTGGACAGCATTGCAGGAGGAAGCCAAGAGGTGTGGAAAAAGCTGGGCTGCACTTCCTTCATGTTTCACTGTCTTGAGTCTGAGACTTGTCTACGAGTTGCTAATAGTATGTATATACCTGCCTTGAGAGGCAGGTTGGACAGACATTAAATTACCAATGCAAAGTTGAATTTTTGAAGCCTTTTTGTGTATCAAAAAAGGCTAAAAGAACTTCCACTACACTTGTGGGTGGAAAAAACCATCTCTTTCTCTAGAGATGAGTGACCAGCTAGAAATAAGCTTTCCTTTTTTGACTAGTTCACTATTTTAAGGCAATAACTGTCATGTGATTTGCCTGTCTTGTTGCAGAATAGTCCCAGTCTCAGATTTATAAATAAGTAGCAAGCTCTGCTGCACAAAGTAAACTTCTAATATTTGTTGCAGTGATTAATTTGGGGTTTTTTTCCTTTTAAAGATAAAACAGGACAATTTTTTTCTCCTTGTAATAAATTCTCTTTGATGCCCAGAATTGGAATCAAACCAAGTAACTAAGACAAGAAATAAACAGATGTTACTAGTGACCTTTTCAGGTTTTTTAGCAAGGGATGCAGCTATTTCTGCAGGGACTATAATCTGCTGCTCCCTGCTGGCTGTCCTTGAAAAGAAAAACTTGCTTGTAAAGTTAGAATCTCTCTGTAAGACTCTTATTGGGTTAAGTGGAAATCTTGAGCATTAAAAAAAATGAATCAGATTTTAAATGTGATAGGTGAGAACTTTACAGCTTGAACTGTAACTTCAATCCCAATTTACTTAGTTGCAAAAAAAAAAAAATTTGCAGACCACTGAAACAAATGAGTACAGTATTTAAAAGTATTACTGTCTCAAGATGTAAAATTTCAGTGCTTTACTCTATTGCATATTTTTACTGGTTTTCCTGTGAAATAAGGGGTAGCAGAATATTTTTCTAGCAATCAGCTGGCCCTCCAGTGGGAGGTTTGCACAGCACCAGGACCATTCTACTGCAGTCCTTCTGTGTCCTAGCAAGAGTTTGTCAGCTGGCTGTTACTGTGGTGGATTTTGGAAGTAGGTTCTCAGGTAATGCTTCCTTGACAGGTGATGAGGCCTTAGGCAGAATCTGAGGACACTGGTACTTAAATGCAGAGCTGGCTTTTCCCTTTCTTCTTTGTATGAAAAGTTTATGATACAAAGAACATGTACTTGCCTGGTGAAAGCAAAGGCCTGTACACCAGGTTGTTGTTTATGGCTATAATCTAATCTTAATTTACTAATCCTGCTTGGATACTTCTTGAGGACAGACTTTGTATGAACTGGTTTGGGAACAATGGCTCTCAGCTGCCTGTTCCTCATGCATTTGATGTTAAGAATTTGGGACTGAAGCTTTTTGACCTAATCTGGTTGCTGAGACTGTTTGTTGAATATAGTGCTACCAGGGACCTTGTTATGACACTGGTGGCTGAAACTGGTCAGGAGAGCCTGGGAAGGACTGGGTGTACTGGCAGCTAGACTGGTGTTTGCATAGGCAGCTGGAGGTGTAAACAAATGAGAGAACCCCTTGGGTCATCCTAACCTCAAAGAGCATGAATTTAGAAATTGTAGTTTATAGTAGCCACTAGAAAGATACTCCTTTATAATCAGTTTTAGATACAACTGCTTTAAATAAAAGGCAATTCCACACTGCCAGAATTGAGACAAGGTCTTGTAAAATTTATTTCTCAAAAAGATTTTACTAAAAACAACTGAAAATAACAAAATCAAAGGTGACTTATCTAAGACATGCTAGGATGAAGATTAAATGTGCATTATTATAGTAGAATAATGTTTCTTAGTAGTAGATCTTGAACATTGTTTGAAACCTATGGAAAGAAAATAATGTTATGTTTTTTTGTAAAAGTATCATTAAATGAAATCTACTTCATTGCCTCATTTTCACTTACATTATATGTAAGTGTCTTACTAGTACTGTACTTAGTAAGAGCCTTTTTGCATTCTTGGTTTCCTGTAGAGAATAAAAGCATTTTTCTTGCTTAGTTTAGATTACAGACAAGCACATTAAGTCATTAGGCCTCTAAGTTACACTGGCACTGTTAAGTAATCTTTCTGTTCCTAAGAATAAGTAGTATAAACAGCTGTATGTCTTTCCATTAACTTGCTAAATAAAATATTAACACATTTTTCTTGTGCCTGCTATACTAATATTACACTGCACTAAAAGCACATTTCTCCTTAGCTCAGGGCTGTAGCACTGTGAACCTCATGGTAGCTGAGACCACCAATGATTACATGATCACAATGATCACATCAGGTACATTCCTGTCTGCTGTCTAGAGTTTTACTAAACATGGGGTTGTCTTTTAGTCTGAGTAGGTTGAACAAGTACTAAATGGACCAAAGGGTGTTGTTATCAAGGTGTAACTCTAAGTGTACACTGTACTCATGAGTGTGTGGCAAACTTAAGCTGCAGATAGATGTCCTCTCTCAGCAACCTATGGAGGGACCTCAACAGATGAAGACTTAGGAGGCTTTAAAGACTTAACAGGACTCAGTCTTACTCTGATGCCCCCAAACCTCTGACTGTAGGGGTAAATCAAAGCTTAAGCCTGAGATACCATCCATGAACCTGAAATGATCCCACCAAGTAGGGAAAAAATGCTCAAGGGAACAGAAGGCAATACTATTTCCAAGTCAGGTGTTAAGTAAAACACAAAAGCACCACTTACAGCTCTTCACAAAGCTGTTAGCATAAGTGGAGGATCCCAAATTGTGGGATGCAGATGCCCTGACTGGCAGGCAAGGGGAGATCTGCTGAGAGGTAGTTATGCAGCTGGACCAGCTTCTGTCTGGAGATAATGGCACTGAGCATAAAGGCTCTGTGTTTGTGTTGATGTGCATGTTGTTTGCATGCCAAGGGTTAAACCCAGTCACTCTGAAAGCTTCCCAGCCCAGCACAGCATGCTGTGGTAGTCATGTCTGGGACATGTTGGACCTGGCTTAGAAGCAAATGAGCACACACAGTGTTACTGGGAGTGTCAGCCTATGATAGGAAGGAGCTGTGAATGCCAGATGTGCACAAGTCTGGGCCATGCCATGAGATTGCCTGAAATTCCTGCAAACTAACTTCAAGTAAAAGCACCTGTGAGGAGGCTTTACTCTGACAATGCTTATGTATAGGAACCTTGGCTTTTAAATAGTACTGTGTGACTAGAGATAAATACCTGCTCAAGTAGAACAAGTAGATGTTTTGTGTTGGTTCAGACATCCTTTTTCCATATCTGGAGAGAGAATAAGCAACAACTTAGCAAAGTCACAACTTTAAAACAAGGTTTTGCACTAACTTTGTTAGTGCTAAGTGTATAGAAACTGTATAAAAAGCTAAGTGGCAAATGCACACAGATTATGGCTTTCAAGAATATTTGGACAGTTTTTACCAGCTGCCCTTGTTCAGATAGGTAAATTCTTAAACCTCAGCCAGAGCAAAGCTGTTTTAAAAGGCATGTGCTGCATCTGTGGAGGAAATAGTTTTGTTAGAAAACTTCAAAACAGAGTA